AGGCATGACGAAGCGGATATCATCCTCTTTTGGAAGGCCAACCAAAGTAGTTCGCTTTCACAACAAAACACAGTGTCTTCACGACATGGCGGCAGGGGCAACAATACTACAGCGAGAATAAAAGTTACACCTTCTTTCTTTGCGTGAACATTTGGGCGGCGTTATGCAAATCTTCCCACATCGTGACTACACATGTGGGGGCGTGTTAGAACGAGCCGTTTTAGGAGGGCGTGGTTAACTCAACTTTTATAAAGAATATCTTTGGATTTGAGACTTTAGTCTTTGCAACTTTACAGATCTTCTTTATGCAGCAAGAGCTTGTAACACTCCAAAGAGAAAGGAAAAATTGAAATCGCATCATATGACCCCTTTAACAATTAAGCCTATTAAACAGATCGTCTGCTCTGAAACCGTTAGTTAATGCAGCAAACCCAACGAGCAACAGGTGTCGAACCAAAATACTGATAATGTTAAACCACAAGGCCATGCGCTAACTAATTAAACAATTATGTAAACACATTGTAGAATGTGATGCTATGAATCTAGTTGAGTGAAGTGGTGACAGCTGCTATTCAGTTAGGCTAACACAAAACGCTCAAAACACTCAATATTTACCCTCCAGAGCTCTCATAAAGGATATATCTGAAGCCTTACCCTTTCCTTCAAACGTCTAAGGGTCCGTTGGTCACAATAATACGCGACTAAACATTATATTTTGGATCAATTCACCGGTTTGAGGTCTGCGCGTCAGGCCGCGCGGAGTGAGTGACAGTCACGAACCTTCTCTGCACGAGACATTCTAACACACGCCGACAGCCAATCAGAAACGAGCTGAAGATTACCGTAAAGCTCGTTTATAAAGCGCAGAACAAACAACAAAAAACCGCCGACCACGGAAGCGGAAGGAAAATTATGAAAGCGCCGTAAGTTTCTTACACAAACCTGGGGCAAATTCAAGCTCAAAGTGGTGCGCAACGTTTTGCTACGGTTTCCGGTTTGAACGACATGTTTCCTGGAAACGGTGTCCAACGGGGTTTGAGATACGTTTTCTCTTGTTCGGTGGGTGTGTCAAAAATGTCAGCCCAATCAGCAGCAACATGTATGTAAACCACGCGGTATTAAAGAGACAGCTCGCACAATGTAATTAACATCCAAATAAATTCACAAGAGCAAGTATATTGTTTGCACATGTTTATTTACATTAAAGACAAAATAACTGAAATAATAAGAGCACAAGTATAGATCTGGAACTTCTTTAAGTCTGTCTAAATATCATTTAGTACCTAATTGCAATGTCGTCTGGTACATCCTTTCCTTAGGAAGGTGCGCTAAATACTGATTAATGTAACATAAAAATTCTATACATATTTATATATTTTGCTATTGTATTGTGGAGTGACACTTTCATAAACTTTTCTATACTCCTCTGATTATATAATGGTAAATATTACAATATCATAGCACAACAACAGTGATCAGCAATAATGATAAGCCTAATACTCACAATAAAAATAATAAGGTCATATAGATCATAACACAGTCTCGGAGGTAAAAAGTGTATTATCCTTCACCTGAAATGTTTGTCTTTTCATCCTGAAAAACGTTGTGATCAACAAATGTTGGATCACAATAATTAGGAACCACAGCTTGCACAAATCCCTTCATTTGATTGGGATGTTCTCTTTTATTTCTGGACGGCAAGGGCAGTGACTGTAACATTGAGTGTATATATACACTCCATAGTTGCAACTCTTGCGTCATCAGAATAGGGTGTTCAACGCACCACCGTTTCCGTTTAAAAACGTTTTGCACCGTTTTGTCGGGGCTGAACGCAGCCCTCATCTTTTTGTTTCGTGCAGATGTTTTATGTAGCAAATAAACAAATAACACCTAAAGTCAGACCATTCTTTTTTTTTTTTTTTTAAATCCTGAAATTAATCTAAATCAAATAAAAAACAACTGCCCGTGCAGTGTTGCATGCATCCGGTTTAGATGCAAAAATGCAGTGGTTGCCTCTAATTTCAAACAGCTGGATATTTTAGTTTGAAGTCAGTTTGTTTGTTATAAAGCAGAGGCAAGAGGAAAAGAAAATAATACCATCTAAACTTTTCTAAAGACAGTAATTTAATGAGAGTTCTCCTCCTGGTTTGTGCCTCTTTGACTTTGAGTAAGTCTATAATGGTGTCTAAACCTGTTTTGCCTGTATATTTTTCCCCTCCTGCCATATTTACCAAACATTTGTTGATCAAACACTCTCACCTCCAAATTGATCTGTTCTTATATAATCTATTATGTTATGAAACATAGATTAAAGATGAGTGGGAGAAGGAAACTTTGCAGAAAATTGCAGGGAGAGGCACCACAGACTCCACCTGATCAGGCTTCAAAATGACTGCAGCGGACGTCTGCTTTCATATGTGAATAACACTCATAGCTGTAAGATTATTGCTTTCACCTCTTTGACATACTGTCTAAAGACTTAAATATTAATTCCTTATAGGCTACTTAAAAAAAACAGCATTAATCCTTTCCATTATGGTGGCTCGTCTGGTATTTCTGGTCCTACTTTGTTTCAGAAAACAGAACAATTTTAAGAAAACAGAAAGATCCCAACCCTCTGTCCTCTTTTTTTTAGGGTTGCACTGCAAAATATTGCCATCATATAGTTATATCAGATATAACTATTACTCTTAATGTTTTATAAGAATGCCTGGAAAAAGAAAAAGGAAGAAAATTAATAAAAGAAAGACATATTTTATGAGTGTCCTTTATTTCATATGTGTACATGTGTACATGAATATCACATATCAAATAAACATTCGTTTTTTTTATCAAAATAAACACAAAATACTAAGGAAATTGTATAATTTGTTAATAAATAGGTACAAACAATAAATATATTATTACAATAGGTTTTATTATATTATTCTATGTGCAATATATCTGTAGTGCACGCCACGCCAGTGACGACAGCATGACTTCTACCTGAAACAAAAACAATTTATTATTTTATGTCATATTATATATATATATATACACATGGCAAACACCACACTAAAAATCTTACTGTATATACACATGGCAAACACCACACTAAAAATCTTATATTTAGCAACCCATAAATAAAGACTTGATCTTACTTCCTCTTCACACCATAATGTTCTTCTTTTCTAGTTTCTCTCTCTCATTAGTGGAGCTCAGGAACGCCGCCTGAAAGCGCTGATGTGTTCTATTGCTGGAATATAAAATCAATACAACAAAAAAACATATTTAGTAGGCCTACATGGTTCTGCCGAATACTCAAATCTACTCTTATTTCTTAAAATTTCTTATAATGTAATTTCTTTCCATTGTACTTTGCTGGATAGTTGAATGAGTATGTTGTTAGGCCTATGTCTTCTTATATGTTGAATTTGCATTACAGTAAAAAAAATAAAAATAAATCAAATCTGACTGGTCAAGCACGAAAACGTTCATAAAAGATTATGTCACGTGAGAAATAAACGAAAGACTTGGGAGGTGAACTATATTCATTTATGTTTCTTACGATTTATATTCGGCTGCATTATAATGAATTTCTAATTCGGAAAATGATGGAGGATGTATCTGGAAGTGTTCGCGGAATTTGGTTGTTTAAAAATATAACATTTTAGCTTAATTACCTCAAATGAATGAAATGATTTGACTAAAGTTCATTCTGTGGAACGATATTTAAAGATCCGAGTCATTAAAATGATCCGATCTTCTCAACAAAAATGCATACGGTTAAATCACACGCAACACAACCTGTAGCCTAAAGCGAGCTTAATTTTGTATAATCAGATCCGTAGCAACCATTATAATTATCGTCTGGGGGTTTATTTCAGAAAATGTGATTCGAATCATTCATAAACAACCGATCACCTGTCGCCCATGTAACCCCTCTCCCCTGGGTCCTCTCCCCCACACCTCGTTCTCACTCCGAGTGGGTCTCGAACCCCAGTCTCTGGCATAGGAGGCGGACGCACTAACAAGGAGGCTAAAGACTGCAGCCACTAGCGTCAGTCGCTAGTGCGTCTCTTGAGATCAGGGGAGTGAGGTTTACCTGCACAGCACCGTTTTGCACCGTTTTGTCGGGGCTGAACGCAGCCCTCATCTCATTCCTCCTCAGCTGAGTTATTGCAAGAGTTGAACTGGTAGTTAAATAGTAGAGTTTTCATTTTGGTATTCTAGTTTTACTAATAAAGTAAGACTATAATAATAACAACAATAATAATCATTATTATTATTATTAATACACATAAATATTTATAACTAGATCAATTTTTCATCACTTGTGCTTGTAAAGTGGATAAAAAGTGTTTTTATTAAAGTTTTTTTTTTTATTATTATTATTAATTAATAGTTATAGCGGAGCAGGCAATTGCCTAGGCTAGGGCCTCGGGCTTTGAGATGGGGCCTCCATAACCTCAACGTCCCATATAGCCTGCTCTAGTCCATCAGTCAAGACAGGCAGCAAAATGCTAGCCTCATTGATATAGTTGAATTGTCACTCACCTGTAATTAAACCATTTAATGTTGCTGTTTCAAAGCGGGTCCCGCCTTCTGAATGTTTACCGTAACGAGCACATCCTTCAGGTGCTGCAAACTAAAGCACAAGGCTAAATAGGCACGCAAAGAAGTACAGCTTCATATACAGTATGTACATGTATTTCCAGATCGCGCATGTCTGTTCGCTCTATGACCAGAAGAGGTCACAGTTGACTTGTTTCTAGTCTTGAGAAAACAATTAAAAGTCCTTGCACAACTAAATCAACCACTGACGTTTGAGATACTTTTAACTGGTTTGTTTATCATGCTACAGTATAAATGTGTTAATATGGTAGCACTTCTTAATATTTGTCATTAACAAACATGATCAGTATAGCTGATGTATTTTCCAACATGAATATTTGAGGCAAAAATATATGACTTAAAATGTAATGACATTTCTAACTATTTAAAATACATTTATCAACTAATAATCTGTTAAATATAATATCATGTAATGGTTTTAAACTACTATATTTCAGTCACAACCAGCAACATGGCAAGTATTTAGTAGCTCTGTCTTCTGGGACCTGCAGAGTTTAGCTCCAACCCTAATCATCACACACACCTGAACCAGCTAATCAAGGTCTTCAAGATCACTTCTAAAGTCACAGGCCAGGTGTGCTGAAGCAGGTTGGAAATAAACTTTGCAGGACAGTGGGTCCCCAGGAGCAGGGTTGAAGACCTATGAGTAGAAGTTACAGTTATTTAAAGGGGTCATATGATGTTGCTAAAAAGAACATTATTTTGTGTATTTGGTGTAATGAAATGTTTATGCAGTTTACGGTTCAAAAAACACTTTATTTTCCACATACTGTACATTATTGTTTCTCCTCGATGCCCCGCCTTTCTGAAATGCGTCGATTTTTACAAAGCTCATCGGTGCTCTGATTGGCCAGCTATCCAGTGCGTTGTGATTGGCCGAATACCTCAAGCGTGTGATGGAAATGTTACGCCCCTCATCATACTTGAGGTTTACCTGCACAGCACCTACCGCTGGCCTCCGTTACACCCACATCAACGCTACATCATTCCGCTCATCCGCGTAAGAAACCGGAACTACTTTCGGGTCTCTCGGAATCTCGCTTTTATTTCATACACAAGAAGACAACTGGTGCTAACTAGCGTCTAATTTGTAGTGTAGTGACCTCAGAGGAGTTCACTTTTTGTTCACTTCCAGAATAAAAAGTTCCTGATAATTTACGCACCCCCATGCCATCCAAGATGTTCATGTCTTTCTGTCTTCAGTCGGAAGGAAATTAAGGTTTCTGAGGAAAACATTCCAGGATTTTCTCCATATAATGGACTTCAATGGCGCTCAACAAATATTTTTTTTTCTTGCTTATCCGAAAAAACAGTCCAAAAAAAATAGTCCAATCTGTGACTAATAAAAAAACACAATATAATGCGTTGAACCACTATATAATGCTATTATAATACTATATAATAGCCTGATACATATATATATTAGGCTATATATATATATATCCCCATACCCCCCCCCCTCGGGTCCAGCCAGTCCACGAGAATATTTTCCAAACGTAACCGGTCCGTGGTGTAGAAAAGGTTGGAGACCCCTGCTCTACAAGATCCCAGCCAAGGAATAAGTGTCTGATCTAGTGAAACAATCAGTAATTTTCTAAAAAAAAAAAAATGTATATACATTTTAACCACAAATGCTCGTCTTGCACTAGCTCGACTTTACGCATTACGTAGTCACGTAGGAAAGGTCACGCGTGACGTAGGCGGAAATAGCGACCCAGTGAGTGTTTACAAAGTGAACGTGCAAAGAAAGTCAAACTCCATCCTATTGGGCAAATTTAAGAGGTCAGAGTGGAAATCACCCTACAAAGAAAGTATTAAGACCTAGTTGGTACGGTAGTGATGGAAAAATGAAGCTTTGCGAAGCACCGAGGCTTTCCCTCAACTGTATCGTAAAAAGGTTAATTACTCGAAGATTTTCAAGACGGTGCACACTAACGACATCTTGTGGTCAAAAGGTGGAAAAAGCTGCCTTTGCGTCCCAGACGACCCAGCCATTTTTGGACCGTTTCAGATAATAAATTAGCTTGTGCTATGAGAACCTGTATAAAGCAAAGAAAATATGAAGTCTATATAAATAAGTCCATTTCAGTCATTGTATTACACAATATGAATAAATGAGTCTGTGAATAAATTTGTGGTACAAATAGGCAAGGCTGTAGGCATATATAGGCTATTATCAAAATAACCGAAGATTATCATAGAATGGTCAGTTAAAGTGTCTGTGAACCAGGAATTAAAGGGGTCCTATTATGCTGCTTTCGGAAGCCCAAACAGAGACGTTTGGGCACGGAGGTGAAAAAAATAGCGTTTCAGGCGGTCGCGCACCGGATGAGAAGCGCAGCGTCGCACCATGTCTTTAAAATTCAAATACTTTATTTTCTATGAGTGTAGGCACACCGGCGGCGCCGTTCGGCGTCTGTCCGCGGCAATATTTCACCATCCACTGACGCGCGCTCACTCAGAATTGATCTAAAACGCAACTGCCCTCTGTTTTGCCGCAGGACAGCAATCGTGAGTAAATTTTCTGTCATCTTTTTTAGGACTGTAATATGAAGAGCGTGCAAAGTAAATATCTTTAGCAACAGTGTGAAAGTGAATAGCACATAACTGCAAAATTAGCCTTACTAATTTAGTAATAATAAACATGTCTATTGGTACAATGCAGTGTTGCCAGACGTACGATATATCGTATCTGTAGATAATTTTTAGTGATGGAAAAATTAAGCTTTGCGAAGCACCGAGGCTTTCCCCTCAACTGTATCGTAAAAAGGTTCATTACTCGAAGCTTTTCAAGACGGTGCACACTAACGACATCTTGTGGTCAAAAGGTGGAAAAAGCTGCCTTTGCGTCCCAGACGACCCAGCCATTTTTGGACCGTTTCAGATAATAAATTAGCTTGTGCTATGAGAACCTGTATAAAGCAAAGAAAATATGAAGTCTATATAAATAAGTCCATTTCAGTCATTGTATTACACAATATGAATAAATGAGTCTGTGAATAAATTTGTGGTACAAATAGGCAAGGCTGTAGGCATATATAGGCTATTATCAAAATAACCGAAGATTATCATAGAATGGTCAGTTAAAGTGTCTGTGAACCAGGAATTAAAGGGGTCCTATTATGCTTTTTTACAAAGTCTTGATTTTGTTTTGGGGGTGTACTAGAAATTAAAAAAGTGAAAAAGCATAATAGGACCCCTTTAATACAAAATGAACATGCACAACACTACACATGTATGTATGCAAATATTTATTCTTATTATGATTTATTCTTTTCAAAGACGTGAGTGGCACTTGAAACTGCGCAAGTGGTTCGCGTTATTTGAATCAGAATACGAAGCAGTCACGTGGTTGTGTGCGAAAACAGAGATGGGAGAAATGCCATTACAGATAAGAAGACAACAGTTAATAGTATCCTATTGGGCAAATTTAAGAGGTCAGAGTGGAAATCACCCTACAAAGAAAGTGTTAAGACCTAGTTGGGAACACGAGAAGAAAGAGTGTAATAGTTTTGGTTGGAGAGTGGGGAAATTAGTAAGAGATATGAGACTGGAAGATGTAGGATATGCTCCAATAATTCCTTTATCTCCAGTGCCAGTGTGGGTTATTATGCCCCAACCAAAAGTTGATCTTAGTTTATTAGAAAGAAGGCAAAAGGAAGGGGCTTACGAATATATTCAATAGGTATATGATGTAAGGGAATATATGGGGTCAAGGTATGGAGATAGGGATGTAACGATTCACTCAACTCACGATTCGATTCGATTCACTTTTTTTTTTTTAACAAAACGAGATTTAAGACAAATTATAAATTAAATGTTTCCTTTTATTATTGCTTGGACAAAATGCTGCACATTTCTTTGTCAAATTGAAATATAACACTATAATAATATACTAATATAGCACTTGCATATTATTGCTCTTTTGTTGGTTTTGATTGCTTCTATTGTCCTCATTTGTTAGTCGCTTTGGATAAAAGCGTCTGCTAAATGACAAAATTGAAATATAATGTAAATGTAAATAACAAAACTAAATTGAAATTTTAAAACAAGCCCCAAATCAAATAAATAAGTAACGCAAATAAAATAAATCTCTTCATATAAACAAACTAAGGCTTTGTCTGTGCTCTTTCCATTTAAAATTAGAGGCAACAACTGCATTTTAATCATGATCCTAACAAAGATGCTGCATACATGCAGCATGAACAATTTTTAATCTAAATTAGATCATATAATTTCGAAATTTGAAGCAAAAACAGAATGGTTTGACTTCAGTTTTGTGAAACTATACATAAAAATATTCACTTAAGCAAAATAGTATAAAAGTTCAGTTTCTGTGGGTACCGGCTCATATTGGGTTGAGAGGTAATGAAGAGGCAGATAATTTAGCAAAAAAGGCCATAGAATGAGAAATAGTTGATATTCAGATTCCTCTTAGTAGGTCAGAAACTAAATCAATTATCAAAATGAATATTTGGAAATTATGGCAGCAGTATTGGGACATAGATACCAAAGGTAGGCATTTGTATCTATTATTGTTACAGTATTTGGGAAGAACTGGTTTGAACAAGCAAGTATAAGTGTTTTTTTTTTTCTCTCTCTCTCTCCAAATCCCGCATAAAGAGGGCTGAGGGTGGACGGAGGAACTGAACACGCAGCGCCGAATGAAGCTCTATGAAGACTCTAAGCGGGTACAAGAATCAAGGGTGTTTGTATGTGGGTTGGTAGGTTAATCAGGAGATTGTAGATAGTGTCAATGGTCCATTTGAGATATAGGTGGCGGTAGTGCACTTATAAGTCTGCGATCCGCCGTAAAGCAACAAGAAGAAGAAGAAAGTCAAACTCCCTTTACAAAAAAAAAAAAAAGGTAAAACAACCATGTTGGAGGATTTTGAAGTTGGAGGAAAATGAGATTAATTAATTTTTCGCCCTACCCTAACTTTTTGAATGTACACAGACGAAGTACACAGACGAAGAGCAAGACGAGCATATGTGGTTAAAAAGTATATAAATTCTTATTATTATTTAAAATGACAGATCATTTTTCTAGATAAGACCCTTATTCCTGGGCTGGGATCGTGTCGAGCCCTTTGAAGCTTCACTGAAACTGCAATTTGGACCTTCAGCCTGTTGAGCACCATTGAAGTCCATTATATGGAGAAAAATCCTGGAATGCTTTCCTCAAAAACCTTAATTTCTTTGCGACTGAAGACAGAAAGACAGACTTCTTATTCTGGAAGTGAACAAATCCTTTAATATTACTGAAATGTTGTCGCTTTAGGGCCCTGATCATAATAGTAATGACTGGGTCAAACTGTATTCCTTACCGTATGTATTCCTTCCTTACTGTATTCCTTCTGCGTAAATGCTTAAAATTAAGAGACAATTATAGACCTAAATAGTGCATATGAATTTCTTCACAATACTAAATGTTTTTTTATAGGTAAGTTTAAAAAAATGCTTCATAATGTATCCAGATTACACATGAACTCCTTCAAAAGCATCCCAAGATACACCATGTGAAGCTGGTTTATGAATGTCCAGACTGAGCAGAGCTGCAATCAAGTACGGCATGGTTCACTCAAAGTTCTGAACAAACATTCCTCCAGTAATGTTAGAGTGTTAAAGTTATCGGGTCTTTAATAATGCTCTCAAAAGTTAGCACAAAATGAATACATTTGTACATGGTTCATGGAACATTTTATTTGCCCATTCATCTAACATTTTTTAAATGTTACTACAGAAAACATTCAAAAGCAACATTCCCATAATGTTTACAAATGATACAATGGAACGTTCTCTTAAAGGGGTCATATGATGTTGCTAAAAAGAACATTATTTTGTGTATTTGGTGTAATGAAACGTGTTTATGCGGTTTAAGGTTCAAAAAACACATTATTTTCCACATATTGTACATTATTGTTTCTCCTCTATGCCCCGCCTTTCTGAAACGCGCATTGCATCGCGCCGCGTAAACATAAAACCATGTCTGCATTTGACGAACACTCAACACTTGATTGACAAACACGAAACACACGGTGGGCTAGAGTGAGCGGAGGCCGGGAGTGAGGAACGGTGGACGGGCTTGAGAAAGGCACGGCCG